CCTTAGCTAAGTCCACATGGAAACCTAACCTTCCTTTTCTTCTTGTAACACCCAGCTGGGCATCAGCCAATCAGGCAGCCAACCGGCCACGCCCAGCTGCCTCTGATCCAGCAGTTTTTCTACTTCCAAGTTCAACCTGTCAGAGAGCTCAGTGCTCTGCTGCGAGGCAGCGCTCAGGAACCTCTTCTGATCCAGCACCACATAAAAAATAGATTAATAAAATAAAGGTATTGTGTCCATCTACAACTAAAAAAAATACTTAAAACGGGACCTATCATAGTAATCATAATATAACTCATCATAATCTAAAAGCAAAAATGACTCCATATTTTGATTCTGACAATTTTTGCCACTATTCTCATTGCTTTTATGGAGAAGAATTTTGGAGGCTTTTACTGAACTATTTTCACCTGTGCCTGCTCCCTCTTAAGTTTCATTTAATTTGTAGTATCTTCCACCATTATTTGTCTTTGAAATATTTTGGGGTTGATAAAATTAGATTATTTCCTTTATAAAATCTAGATTTGCTGATTGCAAAAAAAAAAAAAAAAAAAAAAGACCTTATTAAGAAGCTGAGGCTGCCCTTGAACTTGCAATCCTCCTGCCTTTGCCTCCTTAATTGCTGAGATTATACAGGTGCACCACATCTAGCCAAATTTGTGCACTTTAAAATAATTAGACTTTATCTTATGCAAATTTCACTTCAATTTAAAAAAATCCAATGACATCACAGTTTGTTTTATTTTGTTCTGGCTTTCTGGCACTCTGGATAGTAAAAGCAGAAAGCTTTTATGGCTTTAATTTTAAACAAGTAAATAAAGATGAATCAACAGTGGAACCACTGTAATACAAAAACAGCAAAACAAAACAAAAAAAAAACAGCAGATGGCCTAGGGCTAGCCTTTGCTCCATTAGCTCCATTAGCTCATCTGGAAAGCCTCAGGAAGCTTAAGTCACCCATGTCCCCTCCGAGAGGGACCAAGAGTGGTTAGACAATTAATCCACCACAACAGCCACACACATGAGCCAAGGAGGCCATTGACAGCAGCTGGAGGTGGCCTTCAGAGCTCTGCAACAGGTGCACCTCTACTGCCTGGTGAAGACTGAACTATAGAAACTCACTTGGGATATTTGCTGTAAAATACAAGGAAAAAGTCTTCTGATAGGGCAGGAGTAGTCAATTCAGAGGCAAAATATTAGAGGCACCATCATGGTGGAGCCCCAGAGCTGGGCTCCACAGTTGTCCAATTCAGAGGAGTCGCCCAATAGGAATTGTGACTGCTATTGGAGTAATGGGGCTACAAGTCCTCTGTGGCCTGGGACAACTTCCCAACTCCTTTATTTCCCTATGTAGCCTTCCAATTGACCCTCATTCCCAGAAATAATCTGAGGATGTAGGTACTTTGAAACCCAGAATCTAATTTACATTTAAATGCCACGAAAGGGAGTAATCAAAAGGATTCTGGCCATTCCTTTATTCCCTAATGGAGGATTGGTGGTAACTTGGTAGCCATTTACTGGTAGGGCAGCTCAGTTCCTATTCCTCCTCTGCTTTGCCAGTCTCCACTAGAAGCAGAAAACACCAAATACTTCTTTCCCAGCATTTCTTGCAGCTAAGTATGGCCAAGTGACAAGTACTGCCCAAGGAGACAAAAGTGAAACTCTTAGGGGGATACTGAAGGGAGTGTTTGAAAACGGTTTCCCTTCTATAGTCACCCTTCCTTATCTGTAACTTCAGTATCCTTGGTTTCATTACCTCGGATTCAACCAATTTGGGATAAAAATTATTTGGAATAAATTCCAGAAATCTCCAGAAAGAAAAACTTTAATTTGTCATGTGCTGAGCACTTGGCTGAATTCAGACAAATGCAGTGATATGTAGGCACACTCTGCTGTGGCCCCTTGGCATTTCACAGGTCCTCAGTCTCTCCAACACTCTTTGGACTCTGTTTGCCTTGAATCTCATTTGTGTACCAGGCAGTTGGCTCTGATAATTGTGTCTGTATTGAGAAGGTGCACACTTTTTTTTCTTCTCATTGTTCCCTAAACAATATAGTACGATAACTATGTACATAGCATTTTCATTGTATTAGGCATTGTAAGTAATCTAGAGATGATTTAAGGTATATGGGAGGATGTGTGTAGGTTATATGGAAATACTAATACATTTTATATTAAAAAAATAAAAATAAAAAAAAATAAATAAAATTTTTTTAAGTTGTAAATGTACATAAAACCTTTATTTTTTTATTTTTATATGGTGCTGAGAATCAAGTCCAGTGCCTCACACATGCAAGGCAAACACTCTACCACTGAGCTACAACCCCAGCCCAAAGAAGCGAATTTTCTATTTAAAAAAAAAAAAAAAAGGTAACTCAGAAAGAAAAGATCTGAGAAACCTCAATACTTCTGTTATTCAAGGATTTTTTTCCTCCTATTGTTAAAAAGGAATTAATACTATTCCTTACTTATATTTGGAAGGAAACTGCTGTATTTGTGATTTGCCCAGAATTTTGGTGTGAAACCAAAGCCAAGTAGTAATTCTGAGCAGGGAACACAGAACAATGCACACTTGGTATTCATCCTGGCCCTGCTCAGCGCAGCCTGCCAACTGCAGCCCATTCAATTATTCAGAACCTCATTAGCCAATTTCTTTTTCTAGAACCTTCTTCTGTTTCCTCCTTCCCATCAGGCATTTAGTTCACTTTGTGAAAACTTTTTGCCACAGCAGGACGAAGGAAGGAAAGGAAGGACAAGCTCACGTTCATTCCTACTTGAAGCAGCTGCTTACTGGAGGGAGGAAGGTGAACTTGACAAGGGGGTTTCAAAAGGAAGCGTCACTGCTGTGGCAACGTGGGCAACGGTGCCCGGACAGCCTCCTGGAGGACCTGAGGGTGACGGCAGCGAGTCCACTCTGCTAGCCTGGCTCTAATTTAATTTGATGGGTTTTGATTTGGTCCATTTGAGGAAAGGTACGAGCATGCAGCATACACATAACCCACATGAAGTCGTTATGTTCTTCCTTACGGTAACGTCTAAAAGTGCACAGTTTGACATTATTTTTAAAATTATTCAGCAGGATGTAAATACAATAATGACTGTCACAGATGTGGTAATGGAATGTGAATAAAATAAATTTCAAATAAATGAATAGATCAATTAGGAGAGCTTTTACATGCAATTCTTGAAGGAACTTTAATTTTAAACTTTGGTTTAAAATTTTATCACAGTGTGTGGCTCAGGTAAGTTAACCTGTGTGACGCAGTAAGTCCTGAAGTGTCACATGGCACGGTCAGATTCCACCTGGACCTTCCTGAGTGCCACAAAAATGGTAGGTGACAAGAAGAAAGACGCTTCAAGGCCACTGCAGCTGGTGCCTGAGTGCCAGGACCAAGCCCCAGCTGAAGGTGCACAGGCTCTGCTAATGGAGGGAGGGCTGGGATTGCAAGAATCATTTCCCCTGTGGATATCTCGTCCATTATCGATTAGATTTAAAAGAAATTTTTGAAAACAAAAGCCTTTCCACTGGAAATTAGCTAAATTACTGTCAAAATATTTTACCAAATAACAATTTATGAAATATACTTACTTTAATGAAAACTTTATCTCCCCACAAGATTAAAAGAACATAATTGATTTTACGCACTAACAGTGTAGAAACACTATTCATTACACCCACGTGTTCTGCATCTCATGTATGTTTTTAATATTACTTGGAAAAATGGTATGCTTTTAATTGTAAAAAGCAATTTTGCCTTTCAAGTCCTGATATTTAGTTCAAAAGTGTATCTCTTATAAAACCAGTGAAACAATGTAAGAAAACTTAATTATCTTCCCTGGCCTTTTCTCCCCCATTGTAAATATATCCATGTATAAATTCTTTCAAACTCTGTCTGATCCCATTAACATACAGCTGTGCTCATACACATATGCATAGAAAAATATGCAGGCATATATTTGAATTTTAAAAAATATGATCATACTTTATGTGCTACATTACAATTTTACTTTTCTTACTTAACAATAGGTTATCATCATCAATTGAAATAATTAAGATTTTTGTTAAACTGTACCACCCAAAAGAAATTTGCTACAATTCACTGAATTTTTCTTCCCCTGACTGGTATTCAAGTTGTTTCATCTGTCATAGGTTCTTGTCATTAAAAAATAAAATCATTTACACTGACATGTGGTCACAGGAACACACACAGGCACATGTATTTGATCCTGGGTTTGATCCTCAGCACCCACATAAAAACAAATTAATTAAATAAAGGTATTGTGTCCATCTACAACTAAAAAAAAGAAAAACTTTAAGAAAAAGGGATATATCACAGATGACTCTAAATCTAAAAACAAGATGACTCATAATCTAAAAACAAAAATGACTCCATGTTTTTATAATATATCCTTTTATAGAAGAAGCGAATATTCTATAAGAAAAATAGGTAACTCAGAGAGAAAAGATCTGAGAAACCTCAATACTTCTGTTACTCAAGGATTTTTTCCTCCTGTTGTTAAAAGGAATTAATACTATTCCTTACTACATTTGGAAGGAAACTGCTGTATTTGTAATTTGCCATCAGACGTGCCATCACCAGAACATGCACACACATGCATGCACACACACCCTTGTTACTGCCTGAGCATGTATTTGCACATCCCCTGCACACCCACATGTTCACACATGCAAGCAAGCATCCAGGCCTATGGTACTGTACTTCCACTACTAGAGGAGAATCTCAGAAAGAGGACTTTCAAAAGAGCTGCAAGAGTCTCCCACATTCCCACCAGCCAACACATCAGCCTATGCCAACAGTTCAGAATACACGTGTCGCTATCGTACAGCAAAGTCCACAGAATACTAGGTACCCACCACTAAATGGCACTGCTAATTCTGTGATACATTCATACTGACTGACTTAGTAAGACTGCAATGATAAGGTATCACACGGGCATCTCCATAAGAACAAAGTCCACAGAAACAGGTTTTGACTTACCTTTTTTTGAAACTTCTGCCCCATTAAGTTCTTTTTGTGCTTCTTCAATTTTGTCTGAGGGGAAAAAAAAAATACACTTTTATAGATCAATTAACCACTGTAAATAAAGAATACAGTAAAAAAAAAAAAAAGCATACCACTTATAAGCAATGCCAGAAACAAAATATATATTTGTTGAATGAATCTATTTATGAAATAAATGTCCATAAACTGCCGGGCATATTCTACTTTAAATCTGTATTTATAATTTTAATAATTACTTAGTCAGGAGGACAATTTCCTATTAATGTTTTCATAATGCAAACAAGTAGTGCCCTTTGAGTAATCAACAATAGGTAGAACGTGCTTTGCTGCCTAACAAAAGTATCTAAAAAATATTTCCCTGACATGTGAAGTGCCCAACAGGGATATGTTTTAAAGAAATAGTAAAGGCTAACAAGGTTAGAAAGGAGACTAAGCCAAGTTCACAGGTGGTGCTGTGGTTAGATGTGGTAAGCCTGGTCCTCAAAGTGGCAGTGTTAAGAGGTGCTAAACTCTTTAAGGAGCAGGGTCACTGGGGAAAGGGGTCAGGGTCCTTAGGCCCCTGGGACTGTGGGACTGTGGCAGTCTGGATACATATAAATCCTTTCAAACTCATATGTTGAAGATTTGGTCCCCGATGCAGCAATGTTCAGAGGTGGGGACTTGGGGAGTGACTGGATCCCACAGGCTCGGAACACATCAATGGCTTAACCCCGGAGGATCTGCACGGTAGGCACCAGTGAGAAGGGGTGGAAACCAGAGGTGCTGAGGCCTCGCGGAGGAGGACTTCACTGGGGTGTGCCCTGGAAGAGCACACTTGTCCCTAGTCCCCTCCTCAGTCTTCCTCCCCCTGCTTCCTGGGTGCCATGAGTAAGCGTCCCCACCCGCGCCCAAGCCCTTCAGGAAGCAGATGAGCAGGACTGCGACTTCTGGAACCACAAACCCAAGAAACGTTTCTTAAGTTGTCATTCTCGGGAATTTTGTTGCAGTAACGGAAAGTGAGTACCACAGGTCCGTTACCCTCAGGAGGCATTAAGGTAGTTCTCCTGGGCCCCTGAGATTGTTCTTGCAAGAGAGCTGATAAAAATGAACAGGACCGGCCCTTCCCAGCCCTTTCACTTCCTGCCTTGCAGGGGAGCTCCCCCTCTTCCACGCGATTCAACCTCAGTGCCATCCACCATGAGGTGATGCAGCCAAAAGGGTCCTTGCCAGAGCCAGCACCATGCTATTTGGACGTTCAGACTTCAAAACCATGAGCTAACTAAACTTCTTTTCTTTAAAGTACCCAGTTTCAGAAAAAGGACTAATCAGATAGCTCAATGGTAAATATAAACATGGAAGACAGAGCAGATGGAAAAACAGAGGAAATGATGAGCTGAAGAGTAGCATGACAGAATAATGTCTGTCCCTTGAAGATAACTCAGAGTGCCTACCAAGTGTGAGGGAAAACACCGCATTAAAGAGATGCTACATAAAATGGATTACAGCACTGATGTATATGCAAACAGGTTTGAAAGACAGGTGCAACCTAAAGCAGTAAGAGCACTGGGAGTGCTGCCGCCAGAGTGGGAGGGGAGGAAACTGCAGAGGTGGCCAGCGGCGGGGTGCCTGCCCAACATGCATGAGGCGCCGGGGGTCCATCACCAGCATTGCAGGGGGAAATAATAACCATGATCACAAGAATGGATGAAGAAGCTATGAGCACAACTGGATTTGATAAATATGACCAAGTTCTACTTTGATGACAACTAATTTGAATTTTATACAGTTGATCCTATTTGATGATAACAGTAACCATTCCAAATTGAACTAAGAACTGAAGTGAACACAGTACCAATAATTACATAACATTTTAGATAGCCCATGAAATAATGGCTTAGATAAATGCTCTCAAATTATTCCTTCATCCATGTAGATAATCAGCCTCTGCCTCTGCACACACCAGCCCAGAAAGGTCTCCAGTGCTAAGCCCATTACAACTGGCCAGCCATGTGGCACCCACTCTAAACAAAGGCACCCACTCCACCTGGGCCTGCCTGCTTCTTTCTCCATCTTGCCAGAAAAGCCAGAAATTCACAAAACTCCAATCTGCTGATCAAACTTTCCTCCATTGCACACTGGTCCAAACAAGGCGGAGTGGGAGCGGCAGAATGAAGGGAAAAGCTCATTTGTAGTAGGAGACATTATATCCCAGCAAAAGTTAAAATAAATACCTAATTTTTCTTTCTTATAAATGCATCCCTCATGGCACCTCCTATTTGCTTCCTGCTAATTATCTGATTCGCAATACAAGCGGAGAGGGGCACACAAAACCTTCGGGAGCAGGACAGCATTTCTGATTCACACACTGCAGTTATTCCTCCTGAAATGATGAACTGAAATTGGAAATAATCCTAGAAAAAGCCCAAACACATTAAATGTAGAAACTAAGGGCTGGAATGGTCCAGCAGTACAGTCTGCGCTTGGCCTGCGAGAGACCCTGGAGTCCATCCCCTGCACTGAAACAGATACATTAAAGAACAAAGGAGTTTGAGATTTTAGCATAAATAAATAATAAATGTTTGAGGAGACTGATGTTTAGCCTGATTTAAATATTACACAGTGCATACATGTATGGAAACATAACATGTTACAACCAACATGTAATTTTTGTTTTATGTACCAGTTTAAAATATGTCAATAAAGGTAAGAATTGGTGCAAAAACAAGGCAGAAATTGGATCCAGTATTCAACAGCAGTTTTATTTCAAAGAAAAAAATGCCAAGGTATGAATGGAAACTATATGAACACAAGTAACCAAAGAACAAGGACAATTATTTTAAAAAATAAAATACACAAAGTACATTGTAGACATCCAAACTGTAAATAAATAAATCATATAATTTAAATATATAGTTCTTGAGAAACATTGAAAAATGTAGTTTTACTACTCGAGTACTATTATTTCTATGCCAGCAGTTCTTCTAAACTGAAGAGTCATAAATAATATATGTGTATATATTATACATCACAGCAGTAATGACTGTGCTTTCAAGACTTTATACACATATAATTTGATATTATATAACAAAACAACTTTTTATTAATAGAATCAATTTTGGTTTAAAGCAACAAAACCTCATGACTTAAGAAATACTTAAAGAATAGTTGTTAATGTACACCTATAACGCACCAATAAAAAAAAAGCGGGGCGGTGGGGGTGGGGGGAAAACAGCTGCTCTGTTCTTCCGTATATTGAGAGAGCCACCATCCGTCTGCACTTTAACATGAATTCTTACAAAACTGACCTCAGTTTACATTTGTACCCAAAATACTAGATTTTGTTTTTCAAATTTTCAATTAAGTTACCTTTTTGCCTCGGTAGTAATGATATATACATTTGAACTACTGACTCTAACATCTCTTGCATTAAGTGTAATAAGCATCTACTGCAATGCTTTTACCTACAGCTCCAGTTCAATAGGTAAACACAATCTTCAATTAGAGAGCGTCTAACAGCCATTATGAAAAGCTTTTGCTTCCCTCAATTTTATAAAAAGTCCTGTTTATATTTAACCTGTGTTTCATAATTCTCCTGGTAAATTTGATGTATTTTAAAAACAACCTCCAAAATTACAGAGAAAATGGTCATTTATTATATGCTCTTCATTGGTCCACACAAGGTAACTTAGTGACATTTAAAGTACTATGTATTGAGTTTTTTTCACTATGACCAAGAAATGTATTTTTATATCCCAACTTGTTACCCACACATACACAGATTATGTGTGTATGTCACTTGGACACAAACTTACCCACAGCCTACTCTCTCTTGCCTACTAAAAATACAAAACGATGCCCTGACCAACTCCCCTAGCTCCAGCGCGCACTGCTGGCCTGTAGACCTACAGCCCGGAGCACAAAATGCAAGCAGCAGTTCCAGCACATGTCTTGGCTTTGCCTTCCCTAGAGGTGACATGTCTCAGCAGTCCATCGCTCACTCTAGGCCCTGTGTGCAGGCTGGAGGGAGTGAGGTGGGAGATGAGCCTCAGATTTCCAGGTGTCCCCAACACGCCTGCCCTGTAGGCTCTGTGGTGGGTAACAAACTCACAAGGAGTTCCACATTCAGAAATAAACTCAAGGTTTGCTCTAGGAAAGATTTAAATCACTGCCACTTGATACTGTCAGCTTGCCCCCCACCACACTGAACCCCGCTCTGCAGCCTGCCCCCTGCGCCCAGCCCTAAAACACAAACTCACTGCTATGATGTAGAACCTCATGAACTGTAAAAGGCACCTCTGCTTGCTCAGAGGGGCCACCTGCTTGAAGAAAGCTCAGCGTGTGTGGCTGCACTATTTTTACCATGAATAAAGCTGACTCCTACCTCCTCTCACGGTACCTCAGCACGAGGTCCCACCCTCACTGCTGACTGCGGAGCTATTTCAACAGCACTAAACAGACGACAAGGGCATGATGCTAAAACTGAACCCAGTACTTATAACCTTGTGCACTGCTCTTCCACGTGAAGATCACGCCCCGTCTTCTCTACTGAATCAACAGGTCAACCTGCAGGTTCCACATGGGGGCCGCCTGTCTTCAGGGAAGACGGCACACTACAATCATACTGGAAAAAGGCACGCAGACTAGCAATATTTCAAGTTGAAAATGCTGCATGACATAAGTAAAAAACTGAAACTCAACTCTGTGCTAAGGAATCTGAAAAATGTGAAGAACCAAGTAAAAATTCTAGAAAAACATAATTACCCAAATTAGTCCAGGAAGAGGAAAACCTGGCCAGGGTAACCATCATGAATGACATGGAGAAAATCACCAAAGTAACACAGAAGTGGCTTTTTTCAAGGTTCCAGGCCCAGACAGGTCTTCCTGCTGGATTCTTCCACATCTAAAGAATAAAACATCTTCTCAATTGTTCCCCAACACAGGATGCAGGAAGGTGATCTGAATCACTGTCAGATGACAGGCATGACTCTGATGTCCAAATGAGACCCAGGTGGCGGAAAACCAGCAATATAGTCATGTCTCAATGAACATGG